CACGCGTACGCGCACGTTAATTCGCTTGAACGGAAAATTAAGGTACCTGACATTTAAGCATGACCTGAAGTTTATACCCACTAAATATGATACAGAAATCACGACTGATTAAGGTGATTATGGGTTCTTCAAAGGCTTGACGAAAGAAAGATGAGGGGGTAAGCAAAACCCTATATTTGCGACGAGTGACTGGTTTGGCTTGTCTTTGCCACATATGTTGACCATGATGACGTCATAAAAATGTAAAGAAATGCAACATATATGAAAGAGAATTGCCTTAGCTACAACATACTCAAAGTTGGAAGACAATCGATCAAGAATAAGCGAGCTACGCTCAATTGCGCATTTGTCAAAATGACATCATCGATAATATTCAGTTTGTTGAATTCAGATGGCAATATGATGAAGTCATGACGCGCACGCGTAAAATTAGGGTACATTACATTTAACATTACATTACATTTTTATTGACTTGAAGTTAATGCTCACTTAATACGATTTCGAAATGGCAATTGGTTAGGCTGATATGATCGATAATGTAAAATTGCTCGTAGATGACGTTACGCATAACTGCGCACTGTGAAAACCTTATTGTGACTAATATATTCCAGGCCAAGCTAAATGTTTGCAGTGCAGATTAAAAACAAAAGAATTTTGATTCAAAGTTGCCAACGAGAATGTTTTTACTGATAATTGATCAGAACAAGCTACCGTATTAAACGAAAAACATTAATACTGAGACTTGATCAACCTGATATCAACAACCAGTCCTTATGAAAAGACTGCTGAAAGTAAGTAATACGCCAAAGTAGTAATCAGTTTTATATAACATCCAAAATCATTTCTGATGGTATTCATACTGTACAGTACATACACCATGGATACAGAAACTCCATGCATATAACAAATAGATTCTTTTGTTCTCATTTTGGTAAACTAATTGAGTCTTAATGTACCTTATCTCATGCTGCGGTTCAACTACCTCGAAAAATATCAGGCCAATGAAACAGTTAACTATTGTGTCCTACAGTACTTATTTAAATTTTAAAAACCATGTGTCTTTCTGACGTTTTAAAATATATATCCAGATATCCAGCTATAGATAAATTTGCTATATATTAATCAGTGGAAAAATATTATTGAAAACAAATTTCTAGGTCACTTTAGGTCATTTAATACGTATTCTCCTTCATTATGAGAGTGAAAAATCAAGCGATATTTGTTCAACTCAAATTTCTAGGTCATTATATAATCTGGCTCTCTCAGGATAAAAAACAATAGAATTTCTTTTATATTCTTGTTAACTTAGTTTGTTTTTTTCTTCGAAAGATTGCATCCCTTATGTCCATTCTTTAATATTACTGTAAATGTGGTCATACATCTACAAAAAAAAAATGTGGTTTTCATTCTTTTTTCGTTTCCTATTTTCATAATTTTAAAGATGATACTGTATTTTATGTTAAATTTAATCATTTTTGGTAATTTAATTACTGGTCACATTTTGTCCATTGCTCACATAAAATTTTTTCATGTATTATGGGTCCAGCTCTGTGTAAGGATCATAACTTTGGAGAAACATTGGTCAACATTTTATAATAATAGGGACCGTGTGAAACAATACGATAATTTGCATTGTAACTTTACAAAAACATAACTAAATCTATTTCTACTCTTACAGACAATGTATTGTATATTGTATTCAAGCCTCTCGGGAAAAGATAATAGGACCATGTAAAACAATGGGATAATTTAATTGTAACTTTACATAAACATAACTAAATCTATTTCTAAAAAAATATTGTGTATATTGTATGCAAGCAGTCAAATTGGAATTAAATCCAAGCTTTTTATGCCTAATAACCTAAGAACTTTTTGTATTTTCAATTATTCTACAGTTGCTGAATACACTCACCACACGCACACAAAGAACAGTCCTATCTTTCACAAAATTCATGATCCTACATACAGTATGTATAATCTAAAAAATATTAGGCATAGAAAAATCCAAGAAAAATTTAACACTACATTTCACAATCGCTTTTCACTGTAACTTTGAACCTGTCTAATTAAATAATTATAAAAATGCATGACTAACTAAATGAATGATAAACTATAAACAAATAAAGTGACATAATTATGCAACAATCTTTTTACTCTTGTATGATGATACATATTTATTTTTTCTTTCAGCTTTAGATGTTTTGAAACTTTGTACTGTGAGATGACATTTTTGTTTGACCTAAACCTGGAATTTAAAGTACAAACCTAGCATTAAATACTGTCTACTTTATAGTTTAATTTAATTGCTAGGCAAGGAGAATGAAGTATATATTACATACTGTACAATTCCTAGTAACCAATATAGTACTACTATACTGAGATAGGAGACAGCACACCCCCCGCCTGGTATACAGAGGATACCACTACTTCTAAACAATTAAACTTTAAAGGCAAAATCTTAAACAGTACTAAAAATATTTAAGTTAAATTCTTTAAAACATAAAAAGTTCTGCATTTCCAAAATTACGAAAATAATAAGATAAAGGCCTAATAGATTCATATTGGGACAATATCTAACACATGTCTTCAACGGGGATGAGCAGGATCAGTTCATGCACTGGTCGAGAAAGTATCTTGGTAGAAGAACCATCCCTACAAACTTTTATATCCACTTTGCGCACCAACTTGTCGCTACTCTCGATAGCCTTTGTGACTCTACCCATTGGCCAGTTGTTTCGGTGGATCTCCTTCTCTTTAATTAAGACGAGGTCTCCTTCCTTCATGCAGCGGTTGACACGGTGCCGCTTTCTTCTTCCTTGTAGGAGTGGAAGGTATTCGTTTTCCCATCTTGACCAAAAGGTGTCAGCTAGGTATTGAACCTCCTCCATTGTTTCCCAAATAAGTCGTTCTTGGTGTAGTTGCCAGTAGGAGCCCCTGCGAGTTGTGTTTTTTGTGTTAAAATCATATTTGCTGTCACCTCGGCCATAAGGGTAGTTAGAACTTCATGGGTTAGTTGAATCGGACCCAATTCAGCAAACATATTGTCTAGGATGCGCCTAGATATGCCTATCATCCTTTCCCATGTTCCCCCCATATGAGATGAATGGGGAGGATTGACAATTGACAATCCATTGACAATTATTTTCAAGGAGGTACTTCTTGATCTTCTGGTCAGTAACGTTCAAAGGTATTCCAATCTCGTTACAGGCGCCGACGAAGTTCGTCCCACAGTCAGAACGAATTTGTTTTGCCGGTCCCCGGATGGCTAGAAATCTTCGCAATGCATTGATAAAACTTGACGCTTCCATGGATTCTGTAACCTCAATGTGAATAGCACGGCATGATATACATGTGAATATGACAGCTCATCTTTTGCCTCGTGCTTGACCTCCTCTGGTTTTGCGTGTGGAAACGACCCAGGGCCCGAATGCGTCGAGGCTTACATATGTAAATGGGCGTGCAGGGGAAAGCCGCTCGACAGGTAGATCTGCCATCTTTTGAATCTGTTCTTTGCCTCTGCACTTTCTACATCTAACGCACTTGTCGATAATACTGATAACTCTACTCTTCTCTCCAACAATCCAATATCCTGCACTTCTGATTGCTCCACGTGTGAAGTGTCTCCCTTGATGCTTAACTTGTGCGTGATAATAATGGATTAATAAGTCAGATACATAGTGGGATCCTGGAATAATTATAGGATGAGCAGCACGTTCTCCAATTCCAGCATTACTGAGGCGTCCACCGACACGAAGAAGCCCTTTGTCATCTATATATGGATCTAGCTTAATGAGTGGACTCGCCTTTGGAAGTGGTCGTCAGCTTTCTAACAGGTCCAATTCTGCTTTGAACACAGTAGACTGGGTAGTGCGTATAACAATTTGACTTGCCTCAGCTAAGT